TGAGCCATCTCCCCAGCCCCATGCACAGTTTTTCTTAAATGAAAAACCCAAAGTATAAATTAAAAGCAAACTAAAAGATAGGTAAGAGGAACCAGGGGGACAGATGGTTAACAAAATGGAAAGGGGATTAAGAAATGGCAGGATGAGGAAAGGGAAGGCAATGGAGTAAGTGTTATGATGTGTGATGTCCACACACCACTCCCCATGAGGAATGTGATCATTTTGAACTGCAAACGTGCACTGATTTAAAAAAAAACTTAAAAAGTAATTGAAAAAAAAAAAAATCCCCTTATGAAAAAAGAAAATCGAAACAAAAAATGGCTAAAGAAAGCACGGAATCTCTGACAAGTGACCGCCGCCAGGAGACAGGATGCGGAGAACAAAGCCGATGATAACAAGAGGAAGTGAGAACAAGTGAACTCCCTGCAGAGGAAGGCCCTGAGATCCCAACCGACCACAAAAGGAGGGGGCCATGGCTCCTTCTGCAAGGGGGAGCGAGGCTCCTCGCAGACTCCAGACTCTGTTCCTATTTGTAGCAACTCCCTGCATTCATCCATTAAGGATTAAACCATTCCTGGGAGTTCACTTGAAGAGGTGGCAGTCCCTGCCTCTTCCCCATGCACTTCCTGCACCTCTAGAGCTGTTGTTCAGCTTTTCCATTTGGGGGACCTGTGTCCCCTCACGGCGGCATGTGAGATCGTAGCCACTTCCTCCCCTCAGCATCCCCTCTCTACACTGTCCCCTCACAGCATATCATGATTCCAATTAGAGCCACAGTTCGTGTTTACACACATTATCATCGCGGTGGAGAGACTATTCATGGCTGAGCCTACGAGTACGCTATAATTATTTTTTTCTTTTCCCGCACAACAGTTTATTTTCCAGGGATTTAATAACAGCCTGTGTCTTCGCCTGCTTTGTTTTCTGTGCACTTAGCACTAATCCAGCCCCAATGCTGCCAACTGTCTCCATCTCCGCTGCAGATGTTCCAAGCATCAGGTGTCCTGTTATAATTTCATCTTCTCCCAAATCCCTCCAAGGAGCCTACATGTGGCTCATGTGGGGACCTCCCAGGGCCAGGCTGCCCCCTCCCAGGCTTACCCCCTCAGGTCACCAGTCGCATCTTTAAAGCTTAAGAGGGAAGCCTGGGAGTGGGAGGTGGGAATGACCCTATTCTACCTCCCGTGCTTGAGTGTGGAGCTCAAGGGTGACAATGTTTCTCTTCAGAATTTTAAAAGCAATGATGTTCTAGTGTTTGGGTCTGCTGCTTCTAAGACTGCTTCTTGGCCTATGATCACTGTGAGCTGTTTTATTTCTTCCCTAGAAGCTGCAATTTCAGTCTTTTGTCCAAGTTCTGAAATTTCATAACAGTGCCTTGGAATGGGCATACATGCGGCTTGTTTTTTTTGAAACAGGATCTCGCTGTGTAACTCAGACTCACCTTGAACTCACTATATACCCAGCTGGCTTCAAACTCAGTGATTCTCCTGCCTCAGCTTTCCAAGTACTAGGATTAGCAGCTAACTCTCATTGCCAGCTTATGGCACTGTCATATGCACCTTCAAATAAATTCTTTCCTTGCTCAACTCCAATAGTCTCTGCCTAAATCACAGCCTCCCTCATTGCCCTGATGTTTAGGTTTTTTTTTTTTTTTTTTGTGGAACTGAGGATTGAACTCAGGCCCTTGTGCTTGCCAGGCAAGCACTTATTCTACTGAGCTATCTCCCAAGCCCCCAGGTGTTTAGTTTTTAAAAATTTATTATTAGTAGTATTAGTAGTAGTAGTATTGGTTGTTGAAACAGTGTCATGCTATGTAGTTCAGGAGGTCCTTAAATCACTATGTAGCCCAGATTGGCCTCAGACTCAGGCGATCCTCCTGCTTCAGCCTCCTGAGTGCTGGGATTATAGGCCTGTGCTACCACACCCAGCTCTGCTCTGCCCACACTTTTTTTTTTTGGTGGAACCGGGGATTGAACTCAGGCCCTTGCACTTGCCAGGGAAGCGCTTATTCCACTGAGCCATCTCCCCAGCCCCTGCCCACACTTTTAAAACTAAAACTGGGAACTGAGGAGCCCAGGAGAGTAGTGGTCACCTGTGTTTTCATCCTTCTTGCTGGCCACTGTGCGGCCCTTCAACCCAAAAGTTTGGGCTTTAGGACATTTTATAGATGATTTTGTGCCATTTTTCTTTATTCTTTCTTGTTAGAGTTCTTACTACTAATCTGCTGACCTCCTGATCTTTTTTTTCTCTCTCTCTCTCACTTTCCATCTCCTTGCTATTCTGTTCCACTGTCTGAGGGGGTCCCCTAACTTCATCTGTCATCTGCAGACTGGCTTTCTTATTTCTGCTGTTACATCTCCATGTCTGCAAGCTCTCACGCTTCTCCGGGCCTTGCTCCTCTTCTTCAGAGCGCCATGCTGTCCTTGTCCGTCCTTCTCGGGCCTCCCACCTGAGCCTTCATGCTCCCCTCTGAGCGTGGGGCCTGGTCTGGCTTCCATAACAGGGCCATTATCTATTCATATTCAAGGCACGAGGGATAAAAGGACTCAGTGCCCTGCACACCAAGGAGCTTTCAATTATGATCCCCTGTGTTGTTATTTTCAAGTCTCTTCTCTTGGGCTCCTCAGAAGCCCTAAGCCTGAGGTCTATGCTTGGCACTGGGGCCGAAAGGCTCTGCGCTGCACCTTCCTGGTCTGAACAGCAGCCGCTGCCATCCCCACTCTCAGCAGTGCCTGGTGTTTCCCATGCTGGTCTGAAATCTGTTGAAAGTTTCTAAAGAGTTACAGAAAACTCCTCCTTGTTACCAGAAGCAAGTAGTAGTGGCGGGGCCAGTTATCTTCGGGCACATCTGTGGGCCGGAGACTAGAAAGCCACCAACCCTAAATGCAGCCATCAAGCAGGTGTGAAACTCAGCTACTTTCTAAAGAGAATTTAAAACTTGAAACTACAGATATGAGTTGTTTTAAAATGGCACACCAGTTGCATTTGTTTAACTGTTACCAACAGCCAGCCTCTTGCCCACAGCACCTTCAGCCCCGGACTTCTCCAGAAGAGAATCAGCCTTGATAATCTTGCATTAAGGACAATGACTTGCATGTCTACAGTTACCCACACAACAACTTTTCTTCTGTCCTCCACCCTTTGTGCTGCTGTACCCTAGGGTTCTAACCTGGACCTTACAAGTACCCTGAATTCTACAAGTCTGAAAATCAGCTGTGCTTTCACCCTCCCCTCCCCTGCCCCCCTGACAAGCTGCAGAGCAGGGCCCAGCACTGCCCTGGTGCCCACCTGAGAACTCTGGGTTCCCCAGCCATTCCCTCACCACTCCCAAAAGCTGCACCACCGCAGGACCAGCATTTGTCCTCCTCAGTTCCTCGGCCTTCCTGCTCTCTTGGCCACCGTTCTAAACCCACAGCCACAGCGCTATCTGCTCAAGGTGGTCTGCATCTGCAGACCCTAAACGCACCTCCCCCTCCCCTGGTATTATTTGTTTGTCTGAAACACAGGTTTAATTCCAAGCCTCAATTGTTCCCCAAACCTCAAAAACATAAAATTCAGACTCCCCAATGCAGCGTGCGTGCCAGGCCTCTCACAGTCAGAAATCTATCTTTCCACCCAATCCCCAGCTTAACATCTCCCACACAGGACTCTGTCCCTCCCCCTGGAATGTCTTCCCCAAACACGGCTAACCCTTGGCGCCCAATTTCTACACCCTCCCCATGGTGGAAAACTCCCAGAGCCAGGCGTAGCTGCTCCATCTCTCCACAGTTTGCTAACATCCAACTTGCCCATGCCAGGCTCACCAAGAGCTGCCCAGAGCAAGGCATCCAACACAGCCTGGATCTTATGCACAATGAAAGGTCCAACAATGTGTGCGGAGCGGCAGAAGCAGGGGGGCACCAGCAACATTGAATCCTTACTGCCGGCTGCAAACATGCCCTGAAGTCCTACCAACTCATCTGCTGGGAAACTAAGCACCTCACCATTGCACCAGGCTGACAGTAGTGGACTTCACATTGCTGTTTTCTAATTAGCCCTCTATTCTCTCCTTTCACCCAGACAATACTTCACATTCTCAATGCCACACTTTGCAGAGGGCTAACCCAAGCCCTGAGGTGGGGGCGGGGCGGGGACCAGCAGCCCCGCCGGAGACACGCATCCTCCCCGCCTGTGGTCACATTCTTATTCATCCCGGCCTTCCGAGTCTCTCCAGCACTGGATTATAAAATAAATAATTTAATAATTATGAAAACACTACAGCTTGTTGTGCTCTCCGCCAGACAGAACTTCTGCCTGAGCCAAGGGTTTGCCAGCGATGTCTTGGTGGCCAAGAGCCCAAGAGAGAAGATAGATCCTACTGTTAGCCACTAATGCATGGCTTCCTTTCGCCCAAGAGGCAGGATGCTGCTTTGGGAGCACAGGGTCATTTAAGTGATGCTCTTCCTCGCTCTGCCTGTGAGCAGGCGTAGAACAGCTCCTGGCCGTGATCAGCAAAGGGGAAGCCGCCGTCAGCGGCAGAAAGACGCCCAACAGACCCGGACAAGGTGTGGGACCCGGGAAGTCCCTGCTTGGTGACAGTCCTGGCCCCCGGGCAGCAAATCGACCTAGGACAGCGAGCCTCCTGCAACGGATCCTGGGGATACTGCAGCATCTTTGTCGTCTAGAAACCGTTACCAATTGCGCTGCCTAAGGACCAAGTACCCAAAGAACAAAACTGATACCATCCACCGTGTAGGGCAGGGTGCCCAGTATGCCACAGAGACGACGAGAGGTGACGGCGGCCGCACACTCACTTCCACGCACCCTGCTGGCCTGGGCTCCCCGTGAGGAGAGGGCTCAGAGAGGGTGCGCGCCGGGCCAAGGTCACACAGCGGGCCAGCGGGAGGACACGCTGGACCTGCCCATCCCGGGTCAGGGGACCGACCTGCGCTCCTTCGCCTGGTCGAAACTCCCCGTGCCTGCCCGCGAGACCCCGGCGCGCCCCACGCTTCCAGCCTCACCCGCGTCCTGGCGCCGAATTCCTCGGCGGCGAACCCAATGGCAAGCCGCCTTGCGACTAACTCACCCTCCTGAAGCGTGCCCCCGCCCCCGGCGCCAGAGCCCCGCCCCCACTATCTTCTCGCGAGAAGTCGTGGCAGGAGCCAAGGGAGGGGGGGAGGTGATGCGCCTGCGCTCTCTGCACACTGCCTTGTCCCTGCCCATCGCTGCCATGTGGCGCGGTATTTACGGCCAGAGATCGGCCACGCCTACCGACCAGCAGGAGCCACGCCTCTTCTACAGCAGCCAATCCACGACGTAAATCCTTCCTGTGGGGGCGGGGCAAGAGAGCTGAGAGCGATATCTGCCCTGCAGATTGATTCTAGGGTCTGGTTTACCTTGAACTGTAGTCCCTCCACCTCGCCCCTAGGCCCCCCCCCCTTGTATGGGCATTGAACCTGTCTTTGTACTGAGCTACAAAGCTATTTTTATTTCTTTTTATTTTTAAAGTTTGTGACAGGTCTCTGAATTGCCCAAACTGGGTTCCAATTTGCGATCTTCCTGCCTCAGCCTTCCAGAGCTGTGGGATTATAGGAGTGTCTAACTAAACCTGGCTCCCTACCTTGGAGAGCGCCTGCTGTTCACTGGACTCGTTCACATCGACTCATTAGCAGAGGACTGTGACACTCATTAGCAAGGGCTTTAGACTCTGTGCCATTTTGGCAAATGACAGTCCTGTCAGAGTTCACCTCCAAATCCACAAAAAATAATAATACTACCTAGGGAAGAGTCTCTGAGACTCAGATGAGACGTGCGCAAAATGCTGAAGCAAGGTGTCTAATACATAGGAAGCATACAATAATCATTCTTGGCATTGATTTTTAAAAAATGGCAAAACTTACATCGCATACAATGTGTGTGTGTGTGTGTGTTACTGAGAATTGAACTCAGGAGCTTCAAATCCTCAGCCTTTTTGGTTTTGAAACAGGATCTTGCTAAATAGCCCAGGTTCAGCTCAAACTTGTGATCCTCCTGCCTCAGCCTCTCAAAGTGCTGGATTACTGGTGTGTGCCACCACGCCCTACTCAACTTACCATGTAAGTGCGCACTATAAAGGTGGTACTACATTCACATTATCGTGCACTGTCCTTAATGTGCTGTCGTGGCTGCCTAGATGACCCGAACTGATTCAAAACATTTCCATTTCATAGTCATTTTGACTTGGGGGACAATTCAGAAGTCACACAGTGCTAGATCCAGTGAATAAGGTGGATGAGGACACACTTATCCTTTCTACAAGCTTCCCTTTCTGGTGGATGGCACAGCAGTCACTATACTTTTTTTTTATCATACCTCATAAAAACATGAAAGAGGACCTCCAGAACTGCTTCAGAAAGTGGCAAGAATGATGGGATGCATGTGTTTGAAGCAAGGGGGATTTTGAGAGGAGCTCATGTAACTGTGTCTTTTACAGTTACAAATTACATTTTACAATTTTCACTGTGTGTTTTGATCACACCTTGCTCCTTGGTTCTAAGATTGGAACATGGGGGACAGTTATGCTCTTGCATTAGAAGGATTCAGACTGTATAGCTGCATCACCTGTGTTGTTGTCAGGGGGCCCTGGCACCTGTGACAGGATGACGTAGACCACGGAGCTTCAGCCACAGGAGCCTGAAGACCACGATTCTGAAGACCAGCAGCCCTGAGTCAAGGCCTTGGTCATGTGATAGGTACCTGCTGACAGGGAGAGAGAGAATCTGTCCTGGCACGTTCCTGGGTGTGCACTGATCTCTTCACATTAACTTCCTTCTAAGTGGACTTCCCTGTATGTCCAGGTTTTTTTTTTTTAATTTTTTCCAGATTACCCATTTTATATAAGGATACCAGTCACATTGGATTAGTACCATCCCAATAACTTGTTATTTATCTCTCTAAAGAGTCTGTTTCCAACTAACATCACACTCTTAAACACTAGAACTTAAAGCTCCAGTGTAATTCTTTCTGGGATTACAATTTAACCCATAAAATTATGTGTCAAAAATTACATAATAAGTTTTTTGGGGAAGCAGGACCTCACTAAATTGCTGGGCTCCAGCCTGTGATTCTCCCATCTCAGCTTCCCAGAGTGCTGGGGCTGTATGTGTGTGTCACCATTCCTGGCTCATAATGAGCCATTTTCAACATTACTGTCTACTGGAATGGTTAGAATAAATTTAAAGTCTGGCAGCACCTAAGGCTGGTGGGTCTGCAAAGCAGCTGCTTCTCCTACATTGCTGGTAGACGTGCAGAATGGTACAGCTCTTCTGGACTGTACCACCTGACAACTGAGCAGGCTCACTTCTATGTCTTGCATTAGGGAGGTAGCTCAGCAGCATAAGTGCCTGCCAGGCAAGCGCAAGGTCCTGAATTCGATCTCTGATACAAAAAAAAAAAAAAAAAAAAAAAAAAAGTCAGCGTATATTCCCACAAAAGCACATATTTGAATGTTTTCACAGCTTTGGTCAGTTTTCCTAACTGGAGATGACCCATATGTCCTGTACCCAGGGAATGAATGAACTGTGCCACAACCACACCATGGGATAATGCACAGCCATGAAGAAACAAGCTTTCAATTCATGCAGCCCCCTTCAGATGCATTGTGCTGATTGGCAGTGAAGCCAATGTTGAGGTTCTCTGTGAGTGTACCAGTGACTGTCCCATAGGAGAGGGAGGTTCATGTGCACAATTTAAATGAGGGGAGGTTTATTTTGGCTCACAGTTTCAGAGGGTTCAGTCCATGGTCAGCTGACTCAGAAACATGGCAGAAAGGTGTGATGGAGGGAAGGCACCCACCTTGTGGCAGCCAGGAAATACAGCGAGAAAGGAAACATCCGATCAGAGTCCCCAAGGCCTTACCCCCGAAGAGCATTTTCATCCTCTAACCCTCACCTAAGTCTCCATCGCCTCCCAATAACACCATCAGAGTATGACCTCACCATGGATTAATCTACTGATGAAGTCAGTCTTGGCGATTCAATCATTTCTGGAAGCACACTCCCTCCCCCAGCAACATGCTTTACTAATTCCCTGGGTGTTTATCCATTCAGCTGAATTGTTGACTGCAATTAACCACCACACCATTTGAGTCTGCTTAGAGGATGTTTTGGAAAAGGCAAAACACAGGGATAGATACCTTCTGGGTTAGGACTTGGGCTAGGGAAGAAGTGATTTTTTTCTTTCTTCCCCCCACCGCCCAAGATAGAATCTTTCTATATAGGTCAGGCCGGCTTTAAACTTGCTTATGTAGACTAGACTAGCCTTGAACTCACTGCCATCCTCCTGCCTCAGCCTCCCAAGTGCTGGGATAATAGGCGTGCACCACCATACCCAGCTTGGGAAGGAGTGATTTTTGAAGAGGTATGAGGGCCGGGGAGATGGCTCAGTAGAATAAGCACTTCCCTAGAAAGCACAAGGGCCTGAGTTCAATCCCCAGTTCCTAAAAAAAAAAAAAAAAAAAGAAAGAAATATGAAAAAATCCGGGGGGGGGGGCAGGGAGATGCACAGTTCTATTGTCCTATTGTGCTGCTTGTGGTGGCTTCACAGGCATATGTTTTCATCAAAACCCATAAGGCTGTGTATTTAAAAGATACATTTTACCATATAGAAATTATACCTTGGTTCAAAAAATCTCTTAAAATGTCATTTCCGGGGCTGGTGAGATGGCTCAGTGGTCTAAAGCACCTACTTAGAACAAGCTAAGCAAAAAATGCAGCGACCGCGGTTCAATCCCCCAGCACCACATGCCAGCCAGCCCCGCCCCCTGCTGTGCTGAGCTGGCCACACACACTAAATAAATAAATAAATAAATTAATTAAAAAAAAAAAAAAATGTCATTTCCCCCAGCTGAAATTCTGCTAGTTACTTAGAAGTACTGCAAAATAAAGATGAAATCAAACCACAGGTGCTCAAGGCCAGCAATTCCCAAACTATCGCTTTGTTCAAATTTCCAAGCTCCTGCTAGGAAAGCCTCAATGGAAATTTGAACAAAGTTCTTAAAGATGTCTATTGAGGGCCTCAGAAGTCAGGACTTAGACGTTTATCAAGACCACCCCTTACTGGGAGGGGTTGTGGTGCAGCCATTGTGTAAGGGGTGCAGGTCCGTTTTTGGCGTGAAGAAAACGTCCTGGAACTGCTTGAGGCGGTGGTTGTGCAATGTTGTAGATGGGCTAGATGCCCCTGAATCCTTCACAGTAAAGTAGTTATTTTTATGTTAATTTCACCTGCATTATAAATGACTGGATTCTGACACTAGAAACAAGTGCAAACATTTTTACTCACTTTCTCTGACGTAGTTACACATTTTTTGCAGGCTATAGATCAGGACTTAAGAGAAGTCAAGCAACTAGGGGAGGTACACAGCTGTGTGACAGAATCAGGACCAGAATTCAAATTCTAGGCTCCAGAGTCTAAGTTGTACAACATCTGAGAGGCTTCCTTGGGGGGGAGAGGGTCTGTCAGATGGTTGGGGCCAGCTGTGCCCTGGAGGTGCCCACAGTGGTGAAGGTCTTCTTTTCCCGCCTCCTTCAAGTGATGCCCAGGGGGCTGCACTGCCTTGCCTTTGGTGCCCCCTACCTGGCCCCTGTGCAAGGTGTGACGTCCCTGGGCTGATTGCAGCCTGGATCAGCCGGCACCCAGTCCTCACATCCAAGGCAAACACTCTACTGCCGAGGTGCACCCCTAGCTCTTCTGTTTGTGTTTCAGTTTGAGGTATTTCCATATCTTCTACCAGCTACAACAGCTTCTGCTTTCATAACCAGGGTTGTGGTAGAGGAGAACTACAAATAACTGTGGCTTGGGCAAGAGATGGACTAAGAGTCTGTAGTTTCTGGTGACAGAGGAGCTGGAAGACCCTAATGAGCAGAGCCCCCATTAATGGTGTACCCATTGCTCTGCGGCCTGGCCCCACACACAGAGCTGTGGTGCTTGCATCCAGTGACTTGGACACACAGCAGGGCAATAGAGTGCTAGGCAGCCAGACCCAGATGCCAAGGCCATCACGCAGAAGCTGGGTGGCCTTGGGCTGACCCTCCCGCCCCTGTAAGTCTCTAAGCTTGGGCCCTGAGCCACTGCACCTCACCCCACACCCCAGTCCCATCTGTAGGAGACACTTCCAGGTCCTCGCCTCGGTCCAAGAAGCCAATATTTGTAATCCCAAAGTTACGTTATTGGAATCCCATCAAATTGATTCAAATCTACCACTTACAATGCAACCACGGCGAAAATAAAGACACTAAATTATATCTTCAATCATCGGGGAGTCAAGGGGCTCTAAATCTAGCCATGAAGATGGCTTTCTGGAACCAAGAGAGCGACCCAGGGCCTCACCCCGTTTTATTCAATGAGGGAGTGGCTTGAGGATTGACTGAGAATAGTGAGAAAGAGACTACTATGAGCTGAGCTAGGTGGGTGGCCTAAATTTACCTCTGCGATATGCAGAGAGAGTAATCAGCATTATATAGTATCTAAGGTTTTGGTAAGTCTGGTGCTTCAGCTTCAGTGTGGCCTTTCAAGCCCCAGGAAGTCATGGCCTCTGTCTCGAGGCTCGATCCCAGCTCCACCGCGGAGCATTAGCACTACCGTCCTGTCTCAACCCGGCTCACATTAAAGAGCAGCAGGTGGAGGTTACCAGGGAAACACGCACACCACCTTCAAAGACTATCACCAGCACCTCAGTTAGACCAATACACATCGCTTAAGGCCAATTGAAGGATAAACAGCAGTCCTAGCCGGCTCTGTACATAACAATACAAGGAAATAGGGTCAGGCTCAGTCAAAATGGAGACAATCACTCTTTTTTCAAGGAGAGCTGCTCAGGTGGTCCTCCACACCCACCAAATCTGCTCTGCCTCCTGCTTTACCTGCTAGAGGTTGATGTGGCCAGAAGGGACCTCATCTGTGGTGCTACATTTTATCCCAAAGAGAAGGCAAGGGGAGTCTAGGCCAGTCCCATGTGGGTCCCCAAAGGCCAAGTGGGGTGCAGCTGGGCCCTGACTGAGGGGCTTTTGGACCCTTCTGTTCCACATGCTAAAGATTACCCTAGGGGTGTGGACAGGAAGATTAGGGACACCCCAGGAAGGAACCCATCTACCCAAGAGGTGAAAGTATGCACAGAACAATCAATCGCAGTGGGTGAAATGTTTGTGTTCTCCCAAATTCATCTATTGAAACATAACCTCAAAGTAATGGCATGAAGAGGGGACCCTGGGGCAATTGGGTTAGTGGAGTGCAGCCCTCACAAACGGGACTGATGTCCCCATAGAAACAGTGAAGACACAGCACGAAGCCAGCAGTCTGCACGCCAGAAGCAGACCCTGCTGGAGCCCATCCAGGCTGGGACCCTGAGCTCAGACCGCACAGCTTCTAAGCTGAGAGAAACAAATGCCTGCAGCTCATAAGCCACCCAGTTGTGGTGCTTCTTACAGAAGCGAGTGGATTATGACACTAACCCATGCAAAAACAAGAGAAGAAGGAGCTGGCATTGGGATGTGGGTCTTCGCCTTCTGTGGTAAGATGACCTATTCTGGGAAAGAGCTGGAGAGGTCCTCAAATGGCTGCCACCTGATCCCCACTCTTAACACCTGCCCAGACACCTCCACATTGGGAGCTCACTCCCCACCTCCCACCTGTGGCTGCTCAGGCATCCCTGGGTCTCTGCAGCCCAAGCCTAGAGGCTGGAGCTCCTCATCCCACCCTAGACAGCATCCTCTCAGAACAGACCCTGGGATGGGGAGTGGTCCCGGAAGTGAATCCTTAATGGTGGTGACCCCAGAAATGTGTGGGCTTCCGGGGAGGGCCATGGTTGGGGTGGCTCTCCATGGCGTGTCTCTAGAAGGTGAGGTAGCCCTGGGGGGTGGTGCGCATGCAGGCTGCCCAGACCTGTTCCAGCCACAGCCCATCTTACCCATGCAGCCTCAGGGCAGGGTTGGCTCCTGGCCCCATGGGCGCCAACTCCACCAGCCACCCACTACCTCGGTCTCCGTGACCTCTTGGCGCTGCTGCCCTGCTTCCCACGGGGGTTTCTGGGGGCCAGTGGGCTGTGGTGTTGGCCTCCGCTGTCTGCAGCCCCTGTGACAGACAGGACACTTGTCTGTGGGCCAGGCAGACTCAAGCAAAACCAGCACCCCAGCTAAGGCACTTGCCCTTGGACGCCAGACCCACAGGACCTTCCTTCCCCAAAGACTTGAGGGCCCCTGGCTGGGTTTCTGGGGACTTTCCTTCCTTCCCTCGGGGTCTGGTGTAGGTTTAATGCTCTGGCAGTGCCAGGTTGGTCCCCAGGGCTCTTCTGAAGCCCCATTCACCCTCTCGTGGCTGCACCCAGCAGCTCTGCCAGGTGTGATAGGGACAAGGCCCTGGAGGACCCTCCTCATCGCCCCCATCACCCTCTGACGTAGCATTCCCCTCTGCCCTGCACCCCTCCCAGGCTGTGCCTGGCCCATCAACATGCTCAGGGCCCTGGGCTTTGATGGTGTGCCGCTCTGCCTCTGCCCTGGATTCTCCCCACCCCAGAGGCTGGGAGGGTGCGAGCCACAGGACCGCCATGGGCACAACAGGGGTAGCACTGACCTCTGATGTCTCGTGGCAGGAGGGGTGCCCCACTGGGGCCTGCACTGCCCTGCCACGTGGGGCTGGGGAAGGCGAAGCTGACCTCGGGAACATCTGCACAGCAAGAGCAGAGACAGGAGGATGTTATTTATTTATTTTTTGTATTTAGTACAGGGTCTACAGGGTCTCACTACACAGATCGGACTCGTGGTGATCCTCCTGTTTTCAGCCTCCCAAGCGCTGGGATTACAGGCATACGCCACCACACCCAGTCTCCATTGCTGTCTCAGCGCACCCCAGGGGCAGGGCCAACATGGCATGCTGGGGATTGAACCCTGGCCACTGTGCTATGCCTAAGTAGGCACTTTAGTCTGCTGAGCTATCTGGGCGGCCCTAAGAGAACGCTATTTTTAAGAACCATCCAATGAGTCACGGAAATAAATTAAAGTCTAGTATGTATTGGGCTCCCTACCTAACTCCCTCACGGGCTTTCCCCAGCCCTGGAGGTTTATTTTCCTTATTTCACTCATTCATTTATCTGTGCATTTGGGTTTTTGCAACAGGGTTGCCAGGCTAGCCTCAAATTCATGATGTTCCTGCCTCAGCCTTCTGAGTGCTGGCATTACAGGCGTGTGTTATGGCACCTGGCCAGAGGATTATGGGTTTTTTTTTTTTTTGCTTGTTTGGTTGGTTGGTTTTTTTTTTTGCGGAACTGGGGATTGAACTCAGGCCCTTGTGCTTGCCAGGGAAGCGCTTATTCCACTGAGCCATCTCCCCGGCCCTTAAGAGGATTATGTTTTGTGTGAACTCCTGCAATGTTTTTTTGGTTCCTCTCAGCCCCATCCTGGTTCATTTTTCCTTCTCCAGCACTAACTAAACTTCTTTCTTTCATCCCTCCTTGCTCTCAGCTGCCCATTTCATGGCCATGAAGAGGACTTCTCAAGCAGAGGGGAAGCTAGGGCTCAGCCATGGTGGCACATGTTTGTAATCTCAGCACTTTGAAAGGCTGAGGCAAGAGGATCACAAGCCAGCCTGGACAACTAAGCAACACCTTGTCTCAAAAAAATAAAAAAGGATAGGGGATAAAATTTAGTCTGAAGGCCCTAGGACTGGAAGAAAGCAATATTTATTTATCTATTGTGAGGTTTTGGTGACAGGGCTTTGCCATGTATTTGAGGCTATCCTTGAACTCACTATGTAGTCCAGGCTGGCCTCTAACTCATGGCGATCCTTCTGCCTTAGCTTCTCAAGTTCCGGGATTATGGGTGCACCATCACATCCTAGAAAATTTATTTATTTTATTTTATTTCTTTTCTTTTTTTGGCGGAACCGGGGATTGAACTCAGATCCTTGCATTTGCCAGTCAAGCGCTTATCCTACTGAGCCATCTCCCAGGCCCCCCAGAACATTTATTTTTAAAGCAAGCAAGGGGAGGGAGTAGTGGAGAGGGATGTGGTTCTCTCCCATCTCGCTCAGTGACCTCTTCCTCTGCTCAGCAGTCACTCCTCAGAGAGGCCTCCTAGGTGTCCGACCTCTAGTCACACTTCTGCACTCCGTCCTCCTTCCAGGCTTTGCCCCATTCCCAGTGCACTGTCCCTGAAGAGCTCAGCCCTGCAGGCCTGGGACGAGGGTGACTGCAGCTTGCTGGGGAGATGCATGCTCAGCTCACCAGGGAAGGGGCTCTCTGGCCTCCCCCAGCCACCTGCAAGCCTTCATTATGCTGTGCCAGGCACAGAGGGAAGGCTCCAGGGTACCCACCTGGCCGTGCTACTGGAACCGGTGCGACCTGGGGAGGTCACTGCCCCCTCCAGTCTGGCTTGCACGCGGTACATGCTCAGCAAGGGGTGGCACCACCAGGCGAGCAGCTGTGCAAGCTGGCACACCCGTGATCCATAGGGAGGACTGGCTTGTCTGTTTCCTTCCCGTCTGCAGGAGCTGATAGCTGACACTTGTATAAGTGGGATAAAAGTGAACTACTATACTGGAAAAATGAAATCCTTTTAAAAATACAGAATCTAAGGGGCCATGGAGATGGCTCAGTAGAATAAGCGCTTCCCTGGCAAGTGCAAGGCCCTGAGTTCAATCCCCGGTTCCAATAAATAAATAAATAAATAAATAAAATTTTAAAAATACAGAATCTAGGCAACGGTCAGGAGTTACGGGATCACCATGTTGCCATTTCGAAGGCACCTCTCGATGTGGGTTCTCCCTGTGGCAGGCATTGTGGGCACCCTCTGCAGGTGACCACCGGCTCTGCTGTGGCTTTGTGACAGTGACCACAAGGGCGTGGCTGGTGTCCTGAAATGGTGGTGATGGCAGAAGTCCACAGAGGACATCATCCTTGGTGGCTATTTCAGCATGGTGGCATGTTTTGGGTTTTTTTTCTTATTTATAATTTGGATCTATATGACAAAATGTTCACACTGAACACCTACTTTTGTTCTCTTTTTGTGGTCCTGGAGATTGAACCCAGGCCCTTCTCACTGAGCTACATCCCCAGCCCTAATTTTAATTTTTTTTTTTTTTTTTTTTTGAGACAGGATCTTGCTCAGTCCCTAGGTTGCCCAGGCAGGGTTCAAACTTTTGATCCTCCTGCCCCAGCCTCTCAGAGTGCTGTAGTAGCCAGCCTGGACTACCATGCCTGGTTTCCTTTCTGTACTAACTGTACCTAAGAGGTCACCACTCAGACCTGCCCTGAGCACACCTTCAGGGCTGGGAATGGTGCATACGGAGGTAGCTAACTGTATGCAGGACACCAGTCACCAGCCTGAGCGCCACTGCCATGCCCAGCAAACCAGTGGCAAATCCGGGCACCCTTCAAGTGCCTTTCCCCACGATGCCAGTAGCCTCAGCCCACTCTCTCTGCCCTAAGAAGGCCCGAGGTACAGACAGGTGATAACAGCTAAGACCAGCAACGGTGAACCTTCCAGAGCTTTCAGTGGTGTAAACCCTCCACTGGCGCATGCGTGCCATAGCTTTGCCACCGCTGGCCTAAACTAGCATGTGTTCCAAATTCACATGCAGAAGAAAGCACAACTCTGGATTCAGGTGTTGCACACCTGTAAGTCATCCCAGCACTCTGGGAAGCTGAGGCAGGAGGATTGCAAGTTTGGCCCAGTGCTAGCAACGTGCTGACTCAGCAATTCCTATCTCAAAATAAAAATAAAAGGGGCCGGGGAGATGGCTCAGTGGAATAAGCGCTTCCCTGGCAAGTGCAAGGGCCTGAGTTCAATCCCCGGTCTACCAAAATAAATAAATAAATAATAAAAATAAAAAGAGGTGAGATGTAGCTCAGTGTAAATATATTGGATTAAAAAATATGCTGGAGTCAATCCCTATAAGATGCCCCCCTCCAAAAAAACAAAGACACAGAAAAAAACATGCTATTTTCTTCCCTGATCCTGTACCTGTGTGAACACTGAGGGTGGGTTTCCTCTTGGAGGCTGCAAGGACAGCTGGGAAAAAGCCCTTTCCTGATGACTTTGAGGTCTGACTCTCTGCCAAATGTTCCACAGAGAGGGCAGCTTTCTCTGTCACCTACAGGGAAAACAGACACAGCAGGGCGGGTGTGAGCAGTGGAACGAGAGGGGTGGAAGGTCGGGGCAAGCACTGAAGGATGGAGGGAGGGCCCGCCCTGTTCTGTGTGAATGCACGGGGTTTCTGCTGGCCCTCCCTTCAGTTCCCAGGGAGGAATACATGAAAGAATGCCATCCCGGCTGTGTCCCCCTTTTTCCCTTCATCAAGTTCCTCTAATGGAAGGAGCTTCCTTCTAATCCTAGTGTGATGGTTAATTATGTGTCAACCTGCTGGGCCACGGCATACCCAGGGACCTGGGTTTGTCTGGGGCGAGTGTAACATTAAAAAGCAGGCAGTCCCATTACATGGGTGGGCCTCGTCCAACCAGGTGAAGGTCTGAGCAGAACAGAAAGGCAGGCCTTCCCTCAAATAGGAAAGAGTTCCTCCTGGCTCACAACCTTCAGCTGGACCACAGGCTTCCTCCTGCCTTAAACTGAAACATCAGCTCTCCTGGGCTTCCATTGCTGCCTCAGCCATGGATCTAGGGACCTGCCAGACCAAAACTCCATGAGCCACTTCCTGGGGACAGAGCCCTCTCTTTCTCTCTGTGTGTCTACATGAAGAGAGGCGCTGAGGGGCTCATTTTTAGATATACATAATGATCACATTCATTGTAGGGAGTTTGTACCTGCACGTGATATATCTTCCTTCTGTTTTTCTTTTTTTCCCATTCCCTTCCCCTCCCTTCAAGCCCTCTTTTCCCTTTGTTTCCATTTTTCTCCTGTTCTCTTACTTCCCTTGTCCTTCCTTCCTTTCCTCCTCCTCCTCCCTTGCTTCCCTTCCCATTTGAACATTTTCTTTCCATTTCTCAATATCTAATTTTTTTTTTTTTTTTGTATTTTAGGGAAGGGTCTACAGGGTGTTCAGGGTCGCATTACTAGATTGGACTTGTAGTGATCTGCCTGTTTACAACCTCCCAAGAGTTGGAATTACAGGCATGCGCCACCATGCCCAGTCTTAGCCACTGTCTCAGTGTGCCCCGGGGCCCGGTGGGCATGCACAGCAGGCCTGGGAATTGAAGCCCGGCCCCCATGCCTGCTTGAAGACACTTTAATCTGCTGAGCTACTTGGCCAGCCCTCAATATCTATTTTACATTCTGGCGTTTATTTACACTTTGAGTTCCGCACCCCAAAGAAGCAAGCACAGAGCTCTGTCTCTTGGGACAATGTGCACAACAGGCCCTCACTGCACTCCTGCTGTTGTCCTCCCTTCTGTTTGGGTCATTGTCGAGCCAGTGGGCACCCTGTGCCCCACCCCATGGGGCTCTGGTTGGCAGAGGACAAAGCCCTGCCAGACCCTCACTGCTGGCTATGCACCCACTTGTTGAATCACCAAGCGAGCAGTGAGAAAGAAAGCCTGCCAAGGACAAGTCCATTCCCTGGGAGCCTGGGCCCACAGGCCATTCTATACTGTGCTGCTCAGTCCCACAGTTTCCTGGGCATTTGTGCGTCTGCTCCGCAAGCTCTCATCCCTGAGCTGCCTCCCAGCCTTGGGATTCTGCTGAGCTTTTCTGTGGGTCACGTGGTACAGTAACCCAAGCAAGCAATGCAAAGAGGAGGTGATAGTCTTATAGCGAGGCTGAGGACATTGGTTATCCTAAGTGGCCCTTGAAACAGAAATCCCCAACGTGGCAAGTGCATGGGAAACAGAAATCCCCAAGGTAGCAAGTCAACAGACATCTGAAGTCATTGGTCTGCTGTATCATCTCTCTGTACAAATGTGGACGGAGGCCTGGGTGGTAGGAGGCCTGGGTGGTAGGCCCTGGACCTGGCCCTGCGAGGCAGAGAGAGACGGTGGCATCATCTAACAACCCAACTCTCTCCGGTGATGTAACTGCTATGTTCTGGAAACAGGTAATGTACAGTTCCTTAAGTTAAAATACAAATACTGGTTGTGCATGGTTGCACACATCTGCAATCCCAGCTCTCTGGAAAGCTGAGGCAGGAGGATTGCAAGTCTAAATGCAGCCTGGACAACTTAGTGAAACCCTGTCTCAAAAACTGAGAAGGGCTTGGGACATAGTTCAGTGCAAAGGCTCTGGGTTCAATCCCTAGTACTACAAAAAACTAACATTAAACCTAAATAGTAGGCTGGAATGTGGCTTAGTGGAAGAGTGCTTACCTAGCATGTAAGAAACAAATAAAACCAGATGGAAATTTACAAAATCATACCTGAGCAAAGCAAACATCTTACAGTACTGCATCTGGGGGGATTCTAACTTCATGGAACCTGAGAAGCCTGAGAAGTAGACCAGGCAAGTGGTTGACCTCCACCCACCGGTTGTACGCTGCAGGCGATAGAGGGTGACCGCTTCCTCCTGGCCTTCCTTTCCATGGAGCGGTCCCTGCTGGGGCTGGCAGGGGGCCATGTTTTCTGTGCAGGGCTGAGGTCTGGGGTGGCACTGGGCTTTGGGTTCCTAGAGTCCAGGGCTGCCTCCTCCAGAAGGTGACGGGAGGAGCGGCTGCTACTGCCCTCCTGGTCCTGTGCCTTGGAGCGCCGGCTGGCTGCAATGCGGGCGATGCTCTTGGTGCCGAGGGCCATCTCCTTGAGGGCCTGGACACTCAGGGCTGGGCTTCCAGCCTCCCCCATCGGCCAATGGGCACCCAGCTCCAGACCAGCGGGGGGGTTCAGCTTGCTTATGAGGCTCTTCATAGTCAGGGTGCTCGGCTTCTGCAGGAAATCAGTACCAAAGGGAATGGTCAGAGGTCCCTGGCTGTCCCTGGGGCCCCAGGGCATCACTGTTGTCTGGAGCAGACCCAGAGACAGTGACTTGAGGTCAGGATCACAGCACCCAGGGTCACTCCAGGGCCAAAGATTCTCCTGGGCATGAGTCCCCCACCCTCTGCATGGCAGAGCACCTCCCTCGGCTGCCCGTGGGGCTAGAAAGTCTGCAGCCTGCTTAGTGTGCCAATGGAGCAAGAAGACCATTAACAGTTTCTTTCTTTTTAAAAAATGGTGCTGGGGCTGGGGAGGTGGCTCAGTAGAATAAGCACTTGCCTGGCAAGCACAAGGGCCTGAGTTCAATCCCCAGTTCCACCAAAAAAAAAAAAGGTGCTGTGGCCCCAACCCAAGCCTCACACATATTCCAGGCAAGCGCTCCTCTATGAGCTATGCCCAGCCGGCCTGTGGGCTTCCTTGTGACAGTTCACAGAAAAGGACCAGTTACTAAACACAGCCTCCTCCTCCACCCAAGCCCACCCATTTGCATCCTACCTCCCTCTGAGCACCTGGTCCCCATTGAAAGGGAGATTGCATGCTCATTGGAGGAGGTCCTAAGCCCCAAAGTGCCAACACCTTCCAGCGAGAGGCTAGAAGGAGGCCACTGGAACCTACAAGGGTTTCATTTGTTTGTTTGTTTGTTTGTTTGTTTGTTTTTTCATAACTGGGGATTGAACTCAGGCCTTTGCACTTGCCAGGGAAGCACTTATTCTACTGAGCCATCTCCCCGGTCCCCTACAAGGGTTTTTAACACAGGCACTCACCTGTTCCTTTCCAGTAAAGCACTCACCTCCTGCCGGTGGCTGCTACCATTGTGAGGGGCTTTGGGGAAGCCCTCCCTCTAGAAGCCCCTCACCCTATGCATGCAGCTCTGACTGGGTTTGATGGTACCCTGGCAAGAAGCACACCAACCTCAAGCATGGGAGGAGTCAGCAGGGTGCGAAGCGGTGGCGGAGGAAGGAGAGAGTCCTGCCTGCCTGGCTTTCTCGACGGCGTGACTTTTGATGACTTGTTACCATCACTGCAGATGAAGCAGAAGGCCCAGAGGGCTACTGTCAGGGCCCGGCAATCTTTTGTCAAGGTCTGAACCTGGGCTTCTGTGCCGCTCCAGCCACGGAGGCTGTGCCCCCACATTCGGGCAGGGGAGTGGCCTCAGTCATGCTCCTGGTCACCTATCATGGCCAGGCCTGTGTTGAGGACCAAGGGTACGCTGGTCTGGCAGGGGGCCCTGCACCTTCTCCATCTAGGGGAAGCCATGTGCCCTATGGGCAAGAGGTGTAAGGACCACCCCTGATGGCTACAATGCTTAGACCAACAGGGCTAGGGGTTGACCAGCATCAGGGCAGGTGCTCTGCACGCTCCTTGTTATCTTGGTGAGTTGACTCCTGGTGGCCCCTGGAGAGACCTAGTTTGGGGACCAGAGGGTTAGGGCACTGGGCCAGACAGACTTTTGGGGTCAGGGGTGGAGACTGAGCTAGCAACACACTCATACAATGAAACCCCAGTGAGATGCCGGCCCAGAGACTGACTCTGTGCACCCCGGCACCTCAGCTGCAGACAGTGTCCCTGAGCACTGTGCACAGCCGCAGTGAGTTCAGACTGAGATCTGAGCACAACCAGGCTGCAGCTGCAGGTCTGGCTCTGGACAGGAAGGTGGAGCCAACTTCCTTCCAGGGAGCGGAGTCAGACTGGGCTGACTCAGTGGTCCCACAGCCCTTCCTGAGCACTGTGCTCTCAGGGTGGAGCTGACAGTGAACTCACACATGGGGTGTCAGGGTCAGAGAGGCATCCAACCTGGACCAGGGCAGGGCCACTGTGTTCACACGCACATGCATACATGTATGCATGACACATGACACATGGACACAGGCAAGCACTGCACACAGGACATGTGTTGGGACCTGGAAAACGAGACTCCTCCATGAAGGCATCAGAATCAAGGTCTCTCTCTGACCCTCCTCTGACCTCCTGTCTCTTGTCATGCTTCCCCACAGCACCAAATTTGTGATCCTCCAGCCTCAGCTTTCTGAGTAGCTGGGATTATAGGCATGCATCACCACACCTAGGAGAGTTTGGTTTCTTGGAGGAAGCACTGGGGTTTGAACCCAGGGCCTTCACATTGAGCAACATCCCCAGCCTTTTCTTTTTCTTTCTTTTTTTAAAAGATAGGATCTTACTGTGTAGTTCAGAATGCCTTGAACTCACAGCAACTCTCCTGCCCCAGCCTCTTGAGTGCTGGGATTACAGGTGTGTTTAGATTCACTTCACTAAAGAGGAAGTAGATACATCTAGGCTCCCAGAGGTTCTCAGTCCCTAGCAAGGCCTTGCCTGGCTTACCTATCTCTCTCCAAAAGCAGTGGGGGTAGCTCAGATTGGAGGCCCCATGGGAGGCTTTTCCTGTCCTCATGTTGAGCTCGGCTGGCCTCCAGCAGAGATGAAGTATTCAGAATAGAAGCATCCTGGGACCAGACAGACAAGGCCGGCAAGGCCAGCAGGGATGCAGGTAAGAGATATCATCAAGCAGAAGGTCTCTGAGGGGTCACGGGAAGGTAGCTGCCCTCCCTGGAGCCACCACCAAGTGGAAGAGGCCAGCGAGGCAGCGAGGCAGCTCCCTCGCTCGAGCCCCCACCATGGAGACAGACGGAAGTGCTGCTGCTCAGGGGGTGCCAGGGACCATCGCATGGGGCATGAAGGAACACCTGGAGTCAGGTCCTGGAAGTCTGTAGGGCCTCAAAAGGCTAGACACAGAATTACTGTACGAGCCAGCAATTCCACTTCCACTCTCTACTCCAAAGAATAGAAAGGAAGAACTCAAAGGAGATACAGGATATGATGAAAAAACATGGCAAAGGTTTAATTATTATTTTTTAAATCTTTTTTTTGCTTAATTTTTTAAACTTTTTCACCATAATTTTAATGATAAACAAATAGCAATGAGACAGTTTCAAATCAAATTGGTAGGACAGTTTTAATAATTAACACACTGCATACATTCT